AAAAAAACATGGCTTTAAAAGCTAATATTAAGTGAGTATAATTACTGATTATATATTCTTTCAATAATTTAAAAGATCAGTTTAGTTTAGAGGTATCGGTATCGATATCGACGATACTGGGCTTGAAAATATCGGTATCGGATCGAAAATAAAATAAGAGGTATCGCCCATCCCTAATGTTCATCTGCTTTGTTTACGGCGGTAACCAAGGAAACGCTGTATCTGGTGTTCCATGAGCGCCTCCTGCTGTCAGAGAGTGAATCTGCGTCTCATTCAGAGCTTCTGCTGTTTGCTTCGTTCAGGTATGTAGTATAATTTCACAAAGCTAGTCAGAACATTCTGTTTTTGCTTCAAATTGGGTTATTATTAAATCAAATTATGTATATGAAATGATATAACTAAATTATATGAAAGGATATAAATGATATGTATATGGATTATATAATTAAAATTAAATAACTGTAATTACAGATTTAGGTTAAATAAAGATGTCAGTCTTTATTTTTCTTCGTTTCAGGAAACAAATCAAAGAAAAAATAAACAAATTCTACTGTTCCTAACATTCTGTATGCTGCTCAAAAACAAAATATATTGTGTTCAGCGGGGGGGAAAAAGTTGAGTTTTTATGTTTTTTTTACCTAGTCATTTAAAAATAACACATTTTAGAGCTGTAATGACAATACCGTGAAACCGTGATATTTTTACTTACATTTTAAAATATATTAAAATAGGAAATAGTTATTTTTAATTGTTATATTTCTCAATATTGCTGCTTTTACTGTTTTTTCTCTCTCTCAAATAAGTGCAGCCGTGGTGAGCATGAGACTTAAAAAAATATTACAAAATCTTACTGACAATTTTTGCTTAAGATTATCATACCGTCAAAATCTCATACCGGCCCATGCCTAGCTACAGATTTCAAATAAAAAATTACAAATAATTGACAGGATGGCGGACAGAGCAGTAGGCTGTTCAATAACAACAGTTTAAAGAGCAAAACTAGATTACGACGCCTCTCCCGACGATGGCGATTTAATAACGTTTTGCGGATTTTTGCATGTCTTTGCAGTCTAATGTTTTTGTCAACAGCAGTTAACACAAAACTAGCTAATCTGCGGACCTCCCATTCTCTCCGAGACGCCACACCGTTGCTATGGTTACCACGCTGCCATTCATGGCAGTTTCGGGAGTGAGTCGTGTTCCATACACACATGGAAAGATAATTTATTTTACAGGACTCACTCCCGCATTTAAATGGGGTTGTCACTCCCGAAACTTGCAGTGTGTACGTGGCCAATATTGGCAGGGACAAAAAATAAAAAAAGTTGTCCTTTCTCTTCAGACTGCTCACTAAGTCTAGATCAGGAAACGTCAATCATATATCTAAGAATGACCAAGCTGTATTTAGATTAATCACGTGACTTAATGTGACTGCAAAAACAAAAGCTATATTTAAACCTTGGCTTCTGACAGATTAAACACAAAATACATATAATAAAAATATACAAACATACTCCGTTACGAAGCGATTTTGGGAGTATTGAATGGGACAAAGATCTAAGAAATATGATGTTCATAGTTTATTAGCATCAGATCAACGTAAATGGTGTTGTTTGTTTGTTACTGAAGAACAGCTTGAATGGAAGCAATGTCTAGTTACAATGTTAGGTAAACAGCTACAGCTAGATCAGGAGAACCAGGATGCAGATTACTGGCAAACTCACAAATAACGTTCTACAGAGAGAGTCGGGGTTCTCACAAAAGACTAGGCCAGAGGCCCTCCTCTCCTTTAGGTTTCCACAGCCAAAGCTGCCCTCAAAGACATTCTTACAGTAGAGGAGGAAGGCACAATATAAAGCGTTAATAAAGTCGGCACTGTACATAAGTCATTCCAAACTAATAATTACCTTTATAATTAATTAAAAGGTGTCAATTAAATACCAAACATTCCTTAAAATGATAGTTCAGCCCACAATGAAAATTGCAATATTGTTCTGGACCCCATTGACTTTCATTGTATGCACAAAAATAGTTGGACTATAAAATATCTTATTTTGTGTTCTGCAGAAGAAAGCAAGTTTTGGAACAACATGAGGGCCAGTAAATGATGATAGATGTTTCATATTTGGGTGAATAATATATTTAGGGGGAAACAAGATGATAATTGCACCTTGCAAGATACAGCCTGGGGAACAACATCACTGCATGTAAATCATTAGGGTGTGTAAAACTGCAGCTTGTTCACATTTGTATTCACATCAAACTAGACTATCAAAGAACATAAATAACACTTTCCAGCATTTCATAAAAGTAGAATATAAAAACAATGAATCTGAAAGCAAACAAGGAAGTAAAACACGTATCTGCCGCAGGACATTAGAAAATGTTGTCCTACGGCACATCCTCAGACAGAACCTATGTATGCTCATCACTACTGTTCTTACCGGCAAATTACTGGCAGAGTCCAGGTAAACAACTAGCAGAGTTGAGGAAAGATTGTCATTGGCCCTTATGCTCCTTAATACCTAATAAGATAGAAAATAGAGCAAATGATGATGACAAGAATGAAATGATAAAAAGTTTAGCCAGTGTATGTTTAGTCATGTCTATCAATGTCAGTCAGTTTTTGTGATGGCATGTGCATACTTGATCTAGTTTCTCAGCACTCGGGTACAATGACAGCCATTCTAATCTGAGATGAAGTTTGCCTGTAGCAACTTCTTCCAAGTCAAACCACTGCAGAAAAAAATGTTATTAGCACACTGGAATGGTAGCTATGGGCTTAAGTAACATTCAATTCATTCCAAACCAATGATGAAATACTACGGAGTTCAAAAGAAATTACATAACTGGTGATAATCTCTTCTTTGGGATAAAGAAAAAATCATTATCAATACAGGATAATGTCTGCATCTATGGAAGCTCAAGTCAGTTCATTAATGAGACAAGAATGTACTTCTGGTTGTTAATTGTGGAAAAGAAGATGTCCATATTTGTATTGAAGTAAAAAGACTACATTAGATTTTTTTTTCTTTGTGGTTCAATAATCCATGCATCAGAGTGTTAAAAGTGGAGGCAATTTTATGAATGACTGCAATTAAAACAAAATAGTTTGAAAATATACTAAAACCTAAACCTACTTACAATACAGCCAACAAATTTGAAAGTTCAAAGTCAGTTTATTAATGAGACGGTGCTGAAATAGAACTGATGGTGACATTTGTTGTGAGCTGTAAATTAATCTCAACAAGAACAAGAGTGTGACCGCATTACCTCATCAACTTTCTGTTCTTTATGAAGCTCACTCAAGTCAATTATTAGACTGGAACAAAATAAAAGGAACATTACACATCTTTAAAAATGTCTACAATAGATAAGATTGTACATTTCAGCCATATAAATGAATGTGGCACCTGCCCAAGAAGTCATCTTTATCTGGGTCTTCATCAAAGAGCTCAATTTCCAGATGTTGTCCTGAATGTTCATATACTAGTGCCTGATGTTGAAACACATACATGCACATTTCAGTGTATGCGCATGAGTTTTATGAGCGCAGTAAATGAGCATGTGTGTGTATGTAGTCACCTCATACACCTCATTCCATTTGGGGTGCAGACATTCTTTGATGGTCTTGCTTCTAAAGAGCTGGTTGCTGACCAGCAGCATGCCATAGGGGTCAGACTTGCCTTTGATCAGCCCGCCCAGATATGTGTCCTTAACTTCCAGATTCTGAGCTTCAAGAAAATGTATCCTTAGAACTCCCTAATGAGTGTGAAAAAGAATATAGCAAAAGTCAATGATGTAGGGTTTGTTGAGATGTGTGAGTTTGAGTGTGTGTGTGTGTGTGTGTGTATCACCTTTGGCATGGGGAAACGGAGCTGTGCCAGTTCAACCTCATCTATTAGTGGTACAGTGATCCTGTTAGGCAACACCATGTAAGTGCTGATAATATCCTGGATCATGTGGTCTGAAAAGCCACTGCCAATGAAAAAGAAATTAGTTAAATTACATTTTTATGAAAGTATAGAAAGTGGTGATGTACTTCTGGATATTAATCATAATCTTCAATGCAATGGACAGATGTGTAACTCTCTCATAATACATAATTTTGTGGGAAAAAGATCAAATCTTGTGTTGATGTTAAAGACAACATTAAGGTATTTTTCCTTTGTGTCACGTGCCCCTTAGATTTTTGAGCCAAGTGGATTTTGAAATAATTTTTTTATATTTGATACGATCACACTGGTGTGATTAGAACGTTCAGTGCGGCACATCACCAGCTGCTAAAATCTGGCTCGCTGAGCCAGAGACAGACACGTTTTACAGCGCTTTGCATTATAACCAATCACACACGATTCTCTTGAGCTTATGAACACAATGGCCAATCAGAGGTGTTCAGATGAGTCATCACTGAAAAGCCGGTGTTTTGTTCAGTGCGGTGTAGAAAGCGCATTTCTGTGGCCAGCAACTAAACCATTTTAATGGGTGCCTAATTGAGTTTGTTTGAAAGAAAGAAAGAAAGAAAGAAAGAAAGAAAGAAAGAAAGAAAGAAAGAAAGAAAGAAAGAAAGAAATCCTGTACCTCCCGGATGTATTGCTAACCACAAAACCCACATTCAAACGCTGACTTCCTGACTAAACCAACAATATGACAAAAGCCAAAGATCATCTGACACTGTATGTATGTTTTTGTAACATTAACATGAATACATTTTTTTTTTGCATTTCAGTAGACTCCTACAGCAAAATTTGGTGTGACAGTTATGCATCTAACTGGCCTGCAGCCTGTCTGTCCCAGCACAAACAGACCAAGGCCTTGTTAAAATACAAGCACAATCAGGGGGAGAAGCAATGGAGAGGAAACACACCGAAGCAATAGTGCCATTTTGAGGTTTGTGCTGCTGACATTCCCCTCTCTCTTTTTAATCATACTCCTGTCTCTGGGCTGTTGACTGTCTTTGTTGAAAAGGCTGTAGTTTTGTCAGTGCTGCCTGGGTTTCCTCAAGTCACACAAACACAGGCAAGTAGACCCGGACGTACTGTACAGAAAGATAAATTAGATTTGCCATAGTAATAAGTGAACCCAAGGTACAAATGTGTGTTTGTAAATTTAGAGAACTGCCATATACTAATATATATATATATATATATATATATACTTGAGTCTTATGCATGCTGATCTCTCACTGCATATACAAACAGCACACACCACATTAATTTGGAGTAAATGAATAAGTAAATGCACAGATGGCTAAAGATAAATAAGTGAATAAGTCCAAGTCAACTTTAGACAGTAAATAACTATTTTGTACAATACAAATCTTCTGTATTATATTATTATATATTACAGTATATTGTATAGTATTGTGCTTTGCTGGTTTTAAAATTTAAGTTAATCACAAGAGCAATTACTCATTTTGAGCATGGCTCAAGGTTATTTTCGTAAACGAAAACTGAAACTAAGACTAAAACTATTGGTCAAAAAACATTTTCGCACACCCTACAGCGCACGGACGTTTAAAAGCGTGCTTGACATGCGAGAACAACATGAGAATGAGTTAACACATTTTTTTTGGATGAGCTGACTTTAGTGAATAGTCATTATGTCACGCTTTACGATTACTATGGCAATGTCGAGTCCATGACACGAGCACCACCTTGACTTTACAAAACGCATCCAAAATGAGAGAAAGCGGCATTCACCGCTTGCCGTGTCCTGTGTAAAAGGGGCTTTACGGGATTGATTGCATTGCTCATCTGAAGCGCGTGCGCACTGGAGCGGCTCGTCAAAGTAAAGTGCAAACATCATTTAAAGGGGTGGTTGATTGCGATTTCAATTTTTTAATGTTAGTTAGTGTGTAATGTTGCTGTTTGATCATAAACAATATCTGCAAAGTTACGAAGCTGAAAGTTCAATGCAAACGGAGATATCTTCTTTTAAAATTCTGGCAGTTTAATGCCTACAAAAACGACTGGTAAGGGACTACAACGAGTTACTTCCCGGGTCCGTTACGTCAAGAACTCAGAATTTTACTTAAACCCCGCCCCCAGGGAACATGCAGCAAAGGGGGCGAGGCCATGCTGCGCTGCTTTAGAGAAGAGGAAGAGAATACCATATCGCATTTAGTTTATAGTATGAGGTTTCAAAGCATTTTAGATTGTTTCTTCTTATTGTGTACGTTCATAGAGGGACATACAGTAGTTTTGCACCGGTGGCTCGTCTGTGCAAAAGATCCAACAAATGAATGCACTGAAAACACACATGGACAAATAATAAAGTTTACAGAGTTTCAATGACGATTACAAAGAACAGGTTTTCTCAAATCCAGCACTGGAGGGTCCTTGTCTTACAAAATAAAAACTCAACTGCCTGTAGCTTTCTAGTAACTCTGAAAACCTTGATTAGCTTGTTTGTAAACTATTGGTATGTTTAACAAGATTACATCTTTAATATGAATGAATATGAACATGAATATGAATGAATAAATGTTATACATATAAGTTGCATATTTTTGGTTTTTGTTCAATTGTAAAGAATTATTTTATTTTCATTATTAAGAGATTTGCACAAGAGTTAACTGTAAACTGTGCAAACATTCAACTGTGCTCAAATTAAATGTCTTGCTTTGGTCTACACTCGAACTCTTCCATTAACTCTGCTAAACTATAATTACTAAAACTAAAACTGAAACTAAAATATATAAAAACTAAATAGAAATGTGTTCACAAAAGACAAACTAAACTAAAACTAACAAAACCATTAATGAAACTAACTCAAACTAAACTGAAATTATAGGAAATTTGAAAACTATTAAAATAAAAACTAATTTTAAAAATTCAAAACTATAATATCCTTGGGCTGTAGTCAACACCAACTAGCTTTCATTTTCATTCAACAAAACACCTCTAGTTCTATCAAAAACACAAATAAATCAGAAAACAACTGAACAAAGACATGTATAACAACAACAACACCATTAAGTAAGAACCAAGTGTTTTTTATTTATTATTCAACATAAATAAACTCATCATGCCTGCCAAAATTGGCGATACACTTTATCATTATCTTATATGCAATGAATACAGTACTTTCCCTTCCAAAACATTTGTTTTCTTTGCATTTGAAATGATTTTACACTGCAGCAGGCAAATTTCAACAGCTGGACATTTCAACTTATAAACAACCAAGGACACTTCTAAAAGGTAAAAGAAACATTAACCATTTTGTGCATTGTTGGCATACTTATAATTCAACATACAAAAATAAGTTTCAAGCTAAATCCAGTTGATCCGTTCCCTGGAAACCAGCTCATCTACACAAGAATGAAACATGACACTCAACAACAGAACAAAGAATGCTGAACCGGACTGATGCAGATACGAGTTGCAAACTATGAATCCATGACTGAAAGCTCAAAGCTTGTTCTTTATATCCACATCCGAGTTAAGCTAATTAGTTAAGCTCGAGTAACTACATTCAATCATATCAAAGCAAAACAAAAAGAAGCATTTCTAAAGGTGTTCGTAAACCCCTATGGCCATTAGACCATCTAAATAACCATTAAGAGCTTTGGATTGGGGATGTGCAAGGCAAATGTATGATTCCATGAAGATAAAAGATAAGCCAGAGGAAAATCTGAAATATGAACATTTTGGCCGATACCGATAACCGATAATTCTTTATTTTTGAAAGCCGATAACCGATATGTTGGCCGATAAATCTATATCCAAATTTTTATATACTTTTTGAGAGCCCGATTACAAAAAAGCTCTCCTCATTAAAAACCACATCCCGAACACTTCAACATAAGCAGCCCAGTTTGAACGGTGTATGCTATTTAAGATATAAAAACTCTTTAGCCTGATTTGTTTATTTTTATATATACCTCAACTTACCTCACTTATCACATCCTGTCTCTATATTTACCAAAATCTATTTTGTTCCCATTCACGCTATCATTACACCTGCATCCAATCTGTTTTTCCCCACTTTTTTCCAAATTGCTTTCTCATCTCTCTTGTCAGCAGCACTTGACATTTAATCTCCCAAATTCTGTGATAAAAGACAACTTCATTGTGATTTATTCCTCTGTAATAAAACACAATACGCTGAACAGAAATTATAAACACCATAAAAAACATAAAAGAAAGAATGACAATCATAACTCTCTTATTGATTTGCTTGCCAAGCAGATGCCGTTCCCCAAACATATTCATAATGCAAGCATAGCGCTCTCTGAGGCTACAAAAATCACTCACCAGTCCTAAACAGTGGGACACCACAGATATACAGCAAAGAATTACACTGCATTAGGGTATTATGGTTGCCTGGACTGACAAATCTAAGATCAGTGTACTTTTCTTCAGTATTACATTAGCTATATGATGCAAGGAGCAGGGCTGACATGGGAGCAGCACTTGTGCAGTGAAGATCCAAAGCAGCACCAATAAACTTTAATAGCCTAAGACAAGCACTCTCAATGCTGCAGTGCTAATGACCACAGCCTAATGGTACTTTTGTTTGTTTGCAATAAGGATTATCTTGACATCAAGCTCCCAAACAGTATCAACTATTTATACTTTGAAGGAGCTCTTCAATATACTAACATATACATTCCTATGAACCACCTCTGTACACAGTAGCCTGTGCTAAGGAACAGCTAGAGGGGTGTAATCACTCATCCGCCTGTGTGTGTGTGTGTGTGTGTGTGTCTGTGTGCATGATCAGCACAACCAGAAGTGCAACACTCATGAATCTATTCCAACTACAAGACAGTATGTTATAGCAACACATTAAGGGTCTCTCTAATCTGCCATTACAGAGAACACTGAGAGGCTATTGAGGCTATTTGAAAATATTGTTTTAGTTAATGCATCTAGGGAAAACACTGAAAAAAGTGTACCTTTAATCTACATGCATAATGCATAAATGTAATTATTCTAATTTAATTGTGAATACATTGCAGGGTAAAACAGTAAACATTATTCAATATATATTTGCTGTATTTGAAGTGAACAGAGCAGGTTGAAACATTAGGAGTTTCTTCAAATCATTGACTCTTTTAATAAAATTTTGTCTGTGTCTAAGCCTATGCATGATAAGGGTCATATATTAGATTTGGTTATTTCATTAAGTCTTTCAGTCACCAATCTGCAAATTGATGACTACTGTCTCTCTGACCATAAACCAGTATTGTTTAACTCTGTCCTCAACACTCCAATGGTTGACTCTATGCCCTGTGGTCGCAAAATTCTCTCTGTAAACTCTTCTACTGCTAATTTGTATGCAGATGTGTTTTCTAGTGATGCTTGCCCTATCATGTCTTCCTTGTTGGATTTGTCTGTGGATGAGCACATTTTTCATTTTAATACTCTCTGTAGCAATGTTCTGGATTCTGTTGCCCCATTTAAAATTAAAGGGATAGTTCACCCAAAAATGAAACTGTGATGTTTATCTGCTTACCCCCAGGGCATCCAAGATGTAGGTGACTTTGTTTCTTCAGTAGAACACAAACAAAGATTTTTAACACAAACCTTTGTAGTCTGTCAGTCTTATAATGGAGGTGAATGGGAATCACGGCTTTGAGAGTAAAAAAAAAAAACATACACAAACAAAACCAAATTAAACCCTGCAGCTCGTGACGATACATTGATGTGTAAAGACACAAAACGATCGGTCTGTGCAAGAAACTGAACAGTATTTATATCGTTTTTTTACCTCTGATTCACGCAATGTTCGATTTTTGGAAAATGTATATCTAAGATACATTAAAAATAACAAAATTTGTTTTCATAAAAATATAATTCAATCATAGTATAGGTATAAATATGCGAAAAATATCTGACTTAAGTAACAGTTTTAATTAAACGCGCATCCTCGCCTTATTTTACAAAATTACAAATGTTCTGTTGTTATTTTTAGTGTGCAAAAATAAAAGTAAACACTTTGTGCTTTCAAATTATGGCTTACTCTTATCTGTATGACCAAAAATTATGTATTTTGTTTCAGCTGTTCGACCTCGCCTCGCGCACGCCTGCGCTCTCTCTCTCACTCTCACTCTCACTCTCACACACACACACACACACACACACACACAGGTCAACTCAAACTTGACATCGCAGTCTGTTCATTATCAAAATAAAATAGTCAACTAAAAAATATAAAAGGTTACACTGGTCAATTTAAATAGTCTGTGGTATAACTGGTCCACTTTGTATGCCAAGCACAGTTTTGCTCATGTGAATAGGATATTTCTGTTGATATGAACGTACGTGAAGTACAAAGCCTCTTCATTATAAATAATTTGTTTTGGTTTCTTTAGGTTTATATATTTTTATTTCATTCTTGTTCTGTTCTGAATTCCGTTACATTTATATGATTTATTTTGGAGTGAGCTATACTAACGTATAGCTATGTTTATAGTGTTTATAATGTTTATACATTATAATATTTCACTTTATTTGGTATTATTTATGGTATTATTACACTCTCTGCAAACATTCTACTGCTCACAAAACAATAAGCAGTAAGCACCAATCAATGAGAGCGAGTTTGAACTAAAGAAAGCTGACTGGTCACGGTCAAAAATATGTTGAGGACCAATACATAACCTCCAAATATATAAACCTGCACTCGCTCTCATATGCATGCACGCACGCACTGTCACAATCTAATGCCGGATCCTTAAAAACAATTACCGGAATGCAAAAATCCAAAATCTGACATTTTCTGGAACAGGATCCGACAGGATTCGGCTCAAATTAAGCACTGATTTTAAGCAAACATTTTCTCATAGTCACTAGCAAGTTTGATATTGGAATGATGTTTGATTTTGCAACTTTATCTTGTTATAATAATAATCACCTGTAATATTATTACTAATTTTACATTACATTAAGTTTCATTACACAGCCAAAGGAAGAAAGTGTTTAATCATTTATTTAATAGAAAGCAAACTACTGTCAATAGCATAAAGGGGTCATATGATGCGATTTCAATTTTTCCTTTCTCTTTGACATAACATTTTCATCACACGCTTGAGGTATTCGGCCAATCACAACCAGAGGCGGACAGTAACGAAGTACATTTACTTGAGTATTGTACTTAAGTACACTTTTTGAGTATCTGTACTTTACTTGAGTATTATTTTTTCTGGAAACTTATGACTTTAACTTTACTACATTTGAAAGACAAATATTGTACTTTTCACTCCACTACATTTCTATCAAGGTCCTCGAAAGTACAAAGTCGTTACTATGTGGCAGCTTTGAAAGTCAGTGGGTGATTTTTTTCTTCTCTAAAACGTGACTTTCTTTTTTTCAGACAGTTTATCAGTAATCACTCTT